TAATTCTAAATCTAAATATTGTATAATTTTTGGTTCCATGACCTTTCTATGCTCTGATACCAACTTTATTAAGGCTAGGTAAAAATTTTGTAATGTAAAAAATTGTAATGTTGTGCTAGTTCACAAATCATTTAATTTCTTAAAACTCAGTGTTTTTCTTATACAAAATGTATAAGTTTTTTCACTATTGAAAAATTTGTAAGTGATTAATGTCCTATTCATATCTACTAAAAATTTTTTATTACTATTTAAAAATTTAGTATGAACTAATGTACTATTCCTATCAATATAATATCCTTTGATTATTCGTGCTTGATTATAATATCTAAATCCTAGGGAATAGACTTTTCCAAACCTATAATAAATACAATCGTGTCTACAAATTAATAATTTGCTTTATAAGCTCATGATGTGATTAATGAAATAACTATGATAAGATTTGTGTTAATTGGCTATCACTATTTATTTTTCTAATGAAAACTTTTTGACTAATACATGTAGCCGCTATCTTGCCACTGTTCACGAATTTGTATGAAACTAATATCCTATTCATACCTATATAATATATTTTGTTACTATTTGAACATTTGCATGCAACTATTGTCCTGTTCATGCTAAGATAATATATCTTTATTAATGATAAGTGCCTATGAATCATGCTGGCTATCGGTATTATTTTTCTAAAGCTATATTTCTTGCACCTAGGAGAAGAAGTCATGATGATGGGATGACTAATAATTTATCTATAGAATAAATTATTTAATTCTTCTAACAATCTGTCACCTAATGTTTTAATTTTTTGAACTAAATTGATACCTTGATTATCTTCTATATGCCTCTTAAGGGCTGCCATAATCATATCTATTTCTGTATTAACATGTTCTAATAAAATATCATCTACATCCATATTTATATTTCTAAGTTCAGCTATAATATCTGCATACATTGTTGCTAAATTATTTCTAATTTCTACAGGTAAATCTGCTCGTAATCGAAGAACCATTTGGATTACTTTTTATGGATATATCAAGATATTTTTAAGAATTATTTCTCCCAAAAAGGTAAAATTTGCTTAATTTTTTTTTTCTTTGATGCCTCATTCTCCATAGGTAAATTTAAGAAAACATCCTGTAACTATTATTTATGATATAAATTTTCTCTTTGACAGGTGCGAGAATAATTCGACATACATCGACTATACAGATATTCTTCAAAGATTCAGGAGTATTTTCCACCAGCCCAAAGACAAAGCATAAATGGGGACTTATGGGGTTCAAACTCATGAATTTTTGGATTTACTGTACTCAATCATAGAGGTCGAAAGTTATTTTAACTTTCAAATAGAACTTCTATATGATAAATATAGAACATAAAGTTAGCTTATTTTCAACTAATAGAGATTTTTGGCAAACAAAAAGAAGTTTTTAAAGCATTTCTCCCTTAGGGGAGAAATAATTAATAACTACTCGCTCATAGTGAGTAAACTCATATCCACAAAATAAATTATTATGATCTATATATCTAAGAAAACTTTAAATAAAACTGAACTAAAACTTTATTATATCATAGAGAGAAATACTTACAAAGAGAGGCTTGACTAAGACTTGCAGAAAGAAAAACTTGCTCACAAACAACTTTCACACTATTTTTGGAAGGCTCTCATAACACCACACACTTAAGAGAGACTAACTCTCTATTTATAATACATCATCATAAAACATAACTGCGATATCATTACCGCATATAACATTTAAATAAGAATTTTACTACAGTAGAAAGGACACTAGAGTAAAAAGAGAAGTAGAGAACAGTAGAATCTGTACTTGATTAAGACCGTTTGTCATACTTATCATTTTTCTACCTATCAGCTTATCTGAATTCATCTGTTTTGCCGATTTTACCCTTCCATAAGAAAATGAATTGACTAATTTACAAAAACTATCAATGAAGAGTCACTAGATCTTCAAATTATAAACCTCCTTGATATTTTAGAAAAACATATTTAAGAAACATAGGAATTTTTACTAATAATAGATAATTAGGCAAATTCTATTTCTCTAGCTTTCTTAATTTTTTGCTTAATTGTAAATATTTGCTGCAGTTTCTCATATCCTGTAGTTATTCTTAAATTTTTTGATCCAACTGTCATATTAGGAGTAATAAATGCATTACATAGTTTTAAATTATTTTTACAAAAAGAATTTACTATAAGAACAGATCGAGCTCTTCAGATAACACAATTTGAGAAAGGTTTTGCTAAACCAATATTTTACATGCAGCTAGCATACCAAGATAAAGAGATGATGATTTTTCTTCACAATAAATTAGTCAAAGGACCTCTATTCAGATTCAGATTTTATGTCAAAGACGTTAATCTGTTAAAACATGTTAAAACTTTTTCTTCACATCTGATCGCTACTAAAGGAGATTATCAAACTTCCTATCAAAATTTAACTCCCGAACGGAATATGCCATTTTCAGATCCCGAGACAAACGACCGTTTCTGGATAGATGGGATGGATGATGAAGGGCTAGCGAATATAGAAAATGCTATGGAAGGGTAAAATCGGCAAAACAGATGAATTCAGATAAGCTGATAGGTAGAAAAATGATAAGTATGACAAACGGTCTTAATCAAGTACAGATTTTGATTTGGAGAAGATGAGAAGGAATATATGTGTGCTATGTACGTGGAAATTGTGGTCAATGGAGTCCATTTAAGTGAATTTAGAAGTTATTCGGGAGGACACTTGTCCACAGAATTTTAAGACAATGATACTTTTGGCCAACTCTGAGGAAGGATGCAGAGGAGTCTTCAAGGAGATGCCCACAATGTCAGAAATTTACCCTTATGTAGTTGCAACTAGTTCACTAGCTTCAATTAATCAGTAACTCCTGCACATTCATCATATGGGGCATTGATCACTTGGCCCCCTTCCCACTATCCAATGACCAAAGGAAGTTCTTATTCGTTATGGTGAACTATTTCAACAAATGAATAAAAGCCAAAGCACTCTCTAATATCACCTCCAAAACTTTCAGGAATTTCTTAAAGTCAAATGCAACTTGTAGATAAGGGCTACCTCTCACCATTATAACTGACAATAAGCCACAGTTCTCAAAGAAAGTATCAAGGATTTCTATTAGTCACAAAACATCCGTCTTAAGTTTTCTTTAGTGCATCACCAACAAACCAACAGCTAGATAGAAGTGGCGAATAAGCAAATAGTGAACCTTTTCAAGAAAAAAGTGAAAGGAGCCAAGAATACTTGGGTAGAGGTATTGTCCTCAATTTTATGGGTCCTAAGAATAGCTCCATCCTTGATGACAGGTCAGAAATTATTTTCTCTTTCCCTCAACGCAGAGGTCTTACTCCGAGTGGCAAACTGCATAGTTAGCAAGTGGTAGCAGTCGCCATCTTCAGCGAGGGAGAATGGAAAGAAAAGAATCAAGAAGGTCTAGAAGCAGAAGACGAGCTCAAAGCAGAAGTCACACTCATCCAGGAAGAAGTTAAAAGGAATATGACTAAGTATTACAACACCAATGTCAAAGAACAGTCCTTTCACATTGGTGACCAAGCTCATGAGAAGGTAGGCGCCACAGCTCGCCACTTAGTGCTAGGTACTTATAGGTTCCAAAAGAGTCAAGTGAATTGAAGAACTAAATGTATACTCATATATGTCATCTCAGAAGTCTCAAAGGTACTTATAGGTTCCAAAAGAGGAACCGACCTAACATACCCTAGCAGTGAAGACTCGGCAAAAAATGGTTGCCCTTATTCCAAGCTACATGACAATTAAAGGGCTTGATCTAACTAAGCAAAGCAACCTAAGAAGATCACCGCTAAGCGAAATTTCAAGGGTTCACAGATGATTCCCCAGACTTGGTGGAGTCATCTCCTTAGCAGAAGTCGCCCTCCCAAAGCATCTTGTCAATAAACAAGCCACCAATGGAATTTATCAATCCAGCCACATGGAAGGTTCGCTCCAAGGAAGACTCAAATATGCTTTCTCATGTTCGGCCAATTATGAAGTTTGCAACCCCCACAGTGCAAGTGGACTAGTCCTTCACACTGGAATAATACAAAAGCTTTGCCCAGAAGATTGCCAAAATAGCCAAATGACTCCTGTTCGTTAGTCCTTTCGGCTCAACCCATCATAGGACTCCCCTTCATCGACCCGCCCACTAAGGGAACTCATTCTGAAGCTGAAAACTAAGCCTCGGGAGAATAATCTCGCAAGTATCTATTAGATCATAACATGTGCTCAAAGTAGTCCATACAGGGTCTCATTTGTTATTGCACTTTTTAGCTTTTTGTGTGGCTTTTTATATAGCCTTTGGATCCTCATAAATAAAGGGTGAAGAGGCACGTTTTGAAATTTTTTTTTTTTAATCTTTTTAAAATACTATTGAGCTAGCGGAGCATTTACCTCTCAGCTTTCCTCTTAAACTTTCATAATCTTCTTCTTTATTTTTCATACTCTTCACAAGCACTCATGTTTTTATCTCTTAATTTTGCTAGCTAATGTGTTCGAATATCATCCACGGACAAATTTGAATTCAACAACCTTATTTTTGTTTTTTATTTCGACGCCATGCAATGCGATAACCTTATACGATCTGTGTCAATCAAAATGCGAATAAATCCATGATTCAAGACATGCATAAAGGGGAAATAATTTAGAGCTCACACATAGAGGTCAACCTATCCTGTTTGCATGTTTTTTAAATTTATTTAAGAATCCAGCGATCAAGTTGCTTATTTCAAGATTCAAGATGCATTCTTGATTCATGTATCAAAGTACATATATCATTTGCATATAACCAGGTGTTGTTTCAAGAAGTTTATGAAGGTAGTATCATTGAAAAACAACTTGATTTAAATCAACATAGATATTCAAAAGTTGTTGGGCATCATGCATACTCAAAATTTACACAATAAAATCTCAAGAAACACAACTTCCATGTTCATATACAAGGTTAAAAATTAAATTTATTACCGGTTAGCATTCTTAGCAGACAAGTTGGCTCCTCTGGCAATGAGAACCTGCAAACCTTTAGTTGCTTAAAATATCAAATCAGAGTTTGACATAATAGGAAAAAGAACAAAAAATCAAATGGCATACTTGGCAGCAAGCAGCATTTCCACCACAAGCAGCATAATGAAGAGGAGTGCTACCTGCTCCTGTCAAACAAAAACATCGAGGGATTCATGAAATTGTAAAATGAGCAGTTAAAATTGCGATGTAATCACGACAATAAACTCCAATGGGGCTAGGGTTCTAATTGTAGCCTGGAGCCTCCATGCTGTCAAAGTTCCTTAGGTCAACCACGGCTCACTGTTTACAAAAAAAAAAAAAAGGAGAAAAGAAAAACACCCTTAACCTTCAGTCATTTGGGAAGCTAATTGGATAAGGTAACCATAGTTGCTAACATGAAAGTCTTCACATCACAATCAAAGCTCTGGTTACCTTAACTGGTAAACCCAAAAAATGAAACTATGAGAACTTAATAGGGTTAAACCCTCGCTTTCCTAAAGGACTGCACTTTGCACACTATCAATAGCAAGTCTTCTGAATGTTGAGCTAAGAAACCTCCTTAATCAAAAGTAATCTTCGATCAAGAGAAATAATTAATGGCGAGGGGTTGGCCTACAGATAATCTTGAACTTTATAAACAAATAAATCCTGAACTAGTATAAAGAGAAATCAAGTTAATTATATATCCGATCTACCTTAGAAAAAAAATTCTTTAGCTTTTACATGAGGGTTCATGAGTTGTCTTCCCTAAGTAATCAATCTTACAATGAAATTATAGGATACCATAATGCAACCCTGGTTTGGAAAAATCGCATTGTTATCATTTATCAAAGAAATGCCTTAACCAAGTAGATTCACAATGGCAATCTTTTTTATAATAAGGCAATTAATGGAAAGTATAAAACTTTTTTATTGAACTTAAGAAGGCATCAAGTACTGTACAAATTAACTTGTGCACGCTAAGAAAAAGACATCTTAAATTTAAGTTGAAATTATTAAAATTATGTATGATATATCATTGACAAAAATTAGAGTAGTTATAGAGTGACAAAAGTTCCCAATCACAATAAGATTACATGAATGGTCAAAATTAAGTTTGTATACTTTCATATAAGTCAAGGAGATGCTTCAAAAGGATATTCAAGCAGAGGAACCATTTTTTATACTATTTGTATATGATATTCTAATCGATGAGACCTCTTATGAAATATGCAAAGATTTAAAATAATAGAAGAAATGTTAAGAAAACAAGGAGCTTAAAATTAGCAGAAAGAATTTGAGAATATGATGAACAATACATGAAATCTATTATTATTAATCAATGTTGCCAAAGATTAAGTGATACATGGGAGTGATCAATTTGAACATCATAGATCTATTATAGAGAAGAATATAGATATTAACAAGGATATGACTTCTAGTGTTAGAGTTATATTGATGAATATGAAAAGTATCTCATAAATATTGTCTATTTAGAAAATATCATTAAAACTTTAAGGAAAATATATGATCCATTTAGGGTGGTTACAACCATCTATTAAAAATAGTCGTAAAATGGCTATGAGAAAAACATACTTTTTGAAAGCTATTGAAGGTAGTATAGACGTCTCCTTTTGAAAAAGTCAGATAACAACTTTCTTATAGTTATCAAACTCTAGCATATTTTGTTGCAAAAACTTGCTTCTCATTACATAAATTTCTCCAAAAAAAAAAACTATATATATATATATATAGCCAAACAGAAGCGTGAAAGCTGATTGGAAAGAAAATTCATAAACAAGCTGTCCCAAATGAGCCCACCAGATGTATGTTAAATAAATGAATGATAGATTAAAAGTAAATTCTATTTTTAAAAAAAATGATGAGAGTATTTCCTTCTACAGAGAAGGTATTAGAAATATACATGTAATTTAGAAAAGCATAATGAAGGGCAAAATATACACCAAGTAAACGAGTAAATAAAACCAATGAGAAAAGATGGAATTGGAAATAAAGTAGACCAAGGTTAATGTAAATTGAAGCTTCTAAAAAACCAGTGCAAAATAAATTTGACATCTCATGTAACATGCAACACGCAACATAAATATGCGGAGAAAGAGGATTCATAAAGCTAAAATCCAAATAATTGGAATATAGTTTATGATGGTAATTGGCTTGAAATAGAACTAAGAAAATGTAACATAGTGCCAAAAACCTTTAAGGTTGATGATGATGATAATGATTTGCTTGGTTGAGTGGCACTGCCTTTGACCTCTAAAGTGGAGTTCTAAGGTTAGAATCCCTCCAACATGAATGAAAGGAAAAAAAGAAAGTTGTACAATAGCACTAAAATCTTTAGCACATAACTTTTCAGGAAAGGATAAAATAAGAACAGTAACATATAGACAGAAGGAAAATAGGAGAATCACCAACTAGATCAATTATGGCACCATCATTTAGTGTGAGCTCAGAGACACTGGCTCCCAAATCTAATAGTAATTGAACACTTTCAGCATGCCCATTTAGTGCTGCCAAGTGAAGTGCAGTGATGCCTCCATCGGCCCTTCCATTAATTACCTTAGACAGTTCACTAACAGAAAATGTAAATGTAAGAAGTATATTAAATCAATAAATCACAAAATAAATATATAAAAATCGGGATAGTAGATCAGACTTTCAGCTTACTAGAGATCAAAGTTATCTGTAACAGATGCTTCAATGGATCCACTCATTATATGCCAAAATTCAACTATACTTGGCACATAATCAGCAAGGAGGAGACGGATGCAACGAGTGTGACCATTTAGAGATGCAAGATGCAAGGCCGTCCCACCATGGAGATAATCCTTCTTCAGAATCTAAAATTTGATGTCGAGAAAACATGTTAACTAGAAACTAAAGTGTGGAACAAGTACTAAACAAAAAAGTGTTAAAAAGAATCACATAAAGAACTCACATTTGCTTTAAACAGCATAAGAGTCTGTACAACCTCCCAGTGACCATACTGACAAGCCAACATTAAACCAGTCTGTGCATTAAAAAAAGAGTTACGAGTACAGTTGTAACAGCTTATGGTACCCCTAATCTATATGTAAAGTATACATAAATCTTTCTTTATTCATGACTAGAATTATCAAATTGATTGTCAAAAATAGTTATAAACCAAAAAGATATTGGAACTATTTGGTTGAAATTGAAGTAGAAACAAAATGATCCAAACTGCTACAAAGTATGCCACTTTTTTTGGATCTATTTTGCATTAGTTTTATGAAGGAAATGTTCTAAAATCTAGTAAGATGTAAAGCATAGGCCGATACTTTTCGTCAAACCAAACACCCAAAACATTATTCTACTTGCATTGCTTTTACTTGAAAATTAATTTGCCCCAACCAAACATTAGCCATAAAAGATGGCCCAATCATACTGAACTCACCAGACCTCGAGCATTCCGCAGATTGACATCAACTCCAGATTCAAGTAGTAGAGCAACAACCTAAGATATGGATCACATAATCAACATCATAAGTGGCTAAACAAAACTTCAATTTCATCAGGGAATGAATCCTAACAAAAGTCTAAGGGCTCATTTGGTTGATTTAAAAAAAACAAACGATTTTGAAAATGATGAAATCTGATAGATTCGCCACTGGTTGGGTATACTTAGAAACTTACAACAATTTTGAGCTTCATAAACTCACTTAAAATCCTTCCAAATGTAATGATCTCTTTACCACAACAAAATCATCAATTTCTAGAACATGTATTCTATATACAAACAACCAAATAAGCCCTAAGACAGTAACAATTCCTGTGTCGAACAGTGATTTCAACTTACCTCATGGTGACCTTGAGCTGCAGAGAAATGGAGGGGAGAATTCCTGAAACCAAAAGTCGAGTAACTTGCAAGCCGAGGATTATGATCTAATAAAGCTTTGGCTTCCTGCAGATCTCCATCTTTACTTGCAGACACCAGCCGCTCACCAGACGCCGAGCACCCAAGGGAATGACCAATAAAACTTAAATTTATCATGATCACGAAACCCTAGACGTCTTACCTAAAATTATCCAAAAAAAAGATTCCACCGTTCGACCAAAAGCCTCCAACTTTATCAAATAAGTAATACATCATGATCAAAATCTCCCAAATGAGAGCATAAATCATCCTCAAGACTTCAAATTTACATTAAAAAAAGACCCCTTCGAAGAATGCAACGAGGAAAATATTGGGTAAAGGTCCCATTCAATCACTATCAGCATAGAAACCTAGAGCTTTCAAACGAACTGAGAGCAGAAGTCAACAATGACAGAATATGGGAAGAAAAAATAGATCTACATCAAAGAAAAGAGAACCCAGCCTGAAAAACAACAACTCATACCAAAAAAAAAAAAGCCATCTTTCACCTCAAATCATGATGCAGAGGCCAAAGCTGAGAAAATAGAACACAAGAACAAAAATGATGATGGAGAGGTCACAAATGGACATATGGAAGAAGTTAGAGAAACATTATTGAAGCTGAATTGCTGTATTTAGTACAAGTCTTGGAAGAAAGTGGTTGATTTTGTACTGAAGGATTACCGACAACGATGAATTATAGAAAAAAAAAAACTTCTTACTGGACTGAAGTAATAAGGAGCATCAAGTTCTGTTAGAAGTACGCGCACTGATGGCTGATGTAGTTTTTTTCTCACAGGACCAAAGCAATCAGGATCATCATGCTCTGTTAGAAGTACGCGCACTAATCTAAATGAACGGTTTCTAAATTTTTAAAAATTTATTTGTGAAACATTTTTTGTGTTTTTCAAAAAAAAAAATGAAATTAGAAAATCATCATCAACTTAAAAAAGAATCTATAATATCTAAAATTATTTTATTGCAAGAAATGTAGCAGTATGATCCTATAGAACATATATTGTTCTATAGTAATTTTTTTAGATCGGGTTTGATTCTTCTCATCTAATTCGAGCTCGAATCCTTTGACCATCCCAAAAAAATTAAAAAAAATCTAAAATAATTTTTAAAATTTTAATTTTCTCATAATAATTTTAAAATTAATTTTACAGGGAGCTGTAGTTATCTGAAATATATCTCTAAATTAAAAACATTTTTTTTTTTAAAGAAGGAGAGTTGAATGCCTAAGCACTAACCCACACACACTTATGCCAACAAGTTAATTTTTAAAGAAATGTGATCAAAGTTAATCAATTTTATAATTACTACAACTTATTAAATATAATGAGATAGAGAGAATATATTCTACTATTATTCATATGGAATGATATAATAACTTATCTTTACATATGTTTTATACTCTTATTTGTACTTATAATTTTAAAATTTGGAATTTAAAATGATTAAAAATAAAAAATAGTTGATCACTTGTCTATTCACAATTTTAAATAGGTGAAGATGCTTAGATGAATGAATGATTTTACACTTGGGACAGAATGTCAAATAAGTATATACGTGAAAAGGTTGGAGTAGTTCCAGTGACAAATAAGATTAGAAAGAGTCGCCTTATATAGATTGTTTGGTCACATAAAATGTCGTTCTTCTGATGACCTAGTTAGGAGGGTAGATGTATTAGATCTAACCTATGTTAAAAAATCTAGAGATAAAAATAAGCAAACTTAGTTAGAAGGTATTAAACTAAAAATTTTATTAGATTTAAATGAGAATTGACAAGGCGTGTCAATAAATGATGCAGCATGAAAAATTCATGTTCGGGTTGACCTGTTTAATAAATGGGTCAGGTTCAGGTCTTGCATTATGATCTATTTATTAAACGTGTCAGGTTTGGGTTGACCCACCAACCCAATTTTGACTCGAAAATAATCCATTTAATATTTTTTTCCTTAAATTCTTTTATTTATTGGTAAAATCTTATTATTTTTTATCAATTAACCTAAAATTCATGAATAACAAATTAATAAAAATAATATATTTTTTAAATTTAAAATGGGTTATTAGGTCAAGTTCAGTTTTGACCTGTTTAATAAACGGGTCATGTTAGGTTGATTGAATTGGGAGCGGTTCAATTTCCAGTCAGACCTAAATCCAACCCGTTGATCCTTTTTGACAATTCTGAATTTGAATCTTAGTAGGACACACATGAGAACATTAATACATGTAGTTGAGCCTGGGCAGTGGGATAAAGGCATGATGTTGTTGTTGTTATTGTATGTCTATTCATAATTTTAAATATTATTTATTTAAAATTAATGAAAAATATATAGATTGCAAATTAGCAATCATTAGTAGAATTACATGTCATCAATGCTTCATCTCATATTTATATATCAGTAATGTCTTACTTATCTATAATTTCAAGTACTAATCAGTATATAATATTTTAAAATGCTTTTATATGTTAATAGTTCTATGTTAATATGATAATTTTGAGTAAAGTAGAAAGGCATCTGACAAATAATATATAGCTCAGATTATTATTATTATAATTATTTTTGATAAACGAGCATAGATAAAAATATTCTCATAAAAAATGTAATCTTAAGCACAAGATAATTATTAATAAATAGAAGACAGTTTGTATAAATTAAATGATATTTCTATAAAAATGTTTTTTTTTTCTATATAAATTTCATGATAGTTGCATAGAAACTAGAAGATAATATTTTTTATTATAACACAATAGACAATTCATTGTTTTTTTATAAGTTCTAATTCAATTATCTTATTATTAATATTAAAAATATCTTGTAATTAATGGAGAGATACCTTACACTCCTTACCAATTTTTTTGATGAGGAGATCATGAACTATTATTTTCTTTGCAAGAATATGAGTTGGTTTTATATTTGAAAAATATTAATTTTTTTTTATTGTGTGGTTATATTAGAAGCTCATTAGCAAGACTAACATGTCTCATAGAACCTATAAGAAAGAGAATATTTAAAAAGAAGAAGAAGAAGAAAATGAAGAAGAAGAGAGAAATTATTCTCTAAATAGAGAAGTTCTAAGATTTATATTGCTAGTACAAAATATCCCTAAAAGATCTTTTATATGAAAATTTGCCTCTTGGGCCATATATTTATAGGGTTTTAGTGTGAGACCTCGTTCCCTTACTGTTCCCATATTATAGGGTTTTAACAAGCTGTATAATTGCTTGTTAAAATTGTTAATTTTGAGTTTCATGAACTATTATTTTCTTTGCATAGAATATGTGTTGGTTTTATATTTGAAAAATATTAATTTTTTTTTTATTGTGTGGTGATATTAGAAGCTCATTAGCAAGACTAACAATGTCTCACAGAACATATAAGAAAGAGAATATTTAAAAAGAAGAAGAAGAAAAAAAAAGAAGAAAAGAGAAATTATTCTCTAACTAGAGAAGTTCAAAGATTTATATTGCTAGTACAAAATATCCCTAAAAGATCATTTATATGAAAATTTGCCTCTTGGGCCATATATTTATAGGGTTTTAGACACTACATTAAAATCTACATTGATGTAGCATAAGGATTTCTAGACCAACTACAATGAGTTTGACCAATAAAAAGGCAGGACATATTACCCAAGAACATGATAAAGATCATGAGCTAAAATAGTTATTTAGCATTTTAGTATCCAATTTATAACTATTTTTAAGTGAAATCATGTGAAGTTGTTGGAGACATCGGTACCCTTATAAAATTCCTCATGCAATTCGGCCTGCAGGGAAGCAAATGAGGGGTGGCAAACCCACAATTAGAGAGAATTCCAGAATTTTTATGAGCTGCTCACATCTTTTATACTTAACTAGATCATTGACCTTCAAATTTTCAATAATCTCCATTTCTATCAAACCATACATATTCATGATTCAATTAATCAATAAAATAATATAGGTTACATATGTCAAAGTATGCAAATCATTATATATACCAATGTGAAGTGTCAACGAGGAATCTGAACTATACAAACAACATTGTCAATGTGGAACCAAAAGAAAAACAACAACAACAACTCATTACATAAACCCATCACTACAACAAAACATAATAAGAAACCAAGCTAGAACATGTCCAACATGTCAACAATATAATTCCAACATGTCAATAATGGACTCCTATAAAAATTGAACTCAGAGATAGAGAGACTCACACTCTAGAAAAATAATGAAATAATGGTTTTGCTGTTTCGGGTCATTATAAATACCAATTGACTGCTAGGCCCTAGTTGCAGATGCATAAGAGTAACATCATGTTGAGGATTTGAACAACTCGGATGCTTGGTCAAGCCATCTATCTTTGATTCCTTAGCCTGGGATTGCGAGCGCCTCCTTCTAGGTAGTTTCACTATAGTCCAGGGGCTATAGTCCCCCTCTCCACTACCAAAATCCTTGCCCGTCTCTTTGGCATTGCTGGATAGCAAATTGCCCTAAGCTTTGGCTCCCGCAGGCTATTCCAAGCCGCTCAGCCCATCATTTGCAGTCAAATTCACAATGGGATCACAATCCGAATGATCAACTGAGCTCATTCGGATCCTCTTTTGGATCTACATAATGCTCCGACGACTATAGCACGTGCATGATCACAAGCGGTGGGAAGCATTCACAAGGAGGGAGTATACTAATTAGGCTCACAAGCCTATGCATATGATGTGTCATAGTCATCCATCACATCAACCTATGAAGATAAAAACATTGAGGACATAGTTAGCCGAAGGGTGATAGCTCTAACCAAGGAGATAGAGTGAATGCGATAAGTTCAAGCTGATATACTCACACAACAAAATTAGATGCAAGTGAAACTGAGGGCAGTTAGGGAACAATAACTTCAAAAGAAGGTTCAGGAGGTTGAGAAGGGTAAGGAGGCTAAGGAGAGTAAGAAAACTGAGTACGATTAGATTTACTATATGTTGCGATCATTTTGATGAACTCAATCTTTTTTTCATACAAATTTAGAACATATGTTTGTTCCAATATTTATTTATTTTTGTATAAGTGCCTGTTAAAATTGTTAATTTTGAGTTATATAGGTATGATATAATATGTTACTTTTATATGATGTGATTTATTATTTGTATCCATAATCCATAAAAAGAAAAGGTGAAAGGCTTTTTCTTTTTGAATTTTTTTGTTATAGGTTTCCATCAGATTTCCCACAAATTTGCCATTAGAAAGTTTGATATGATGACGATGAAAAATTCTAGTGGAAAAATGCAGCTGGAGCTTCTAACGGATTTTGTCACTGGAATTTTCCGTTGTTTTTTGAATTTCCAATGGTTTTTGGTCATCGGTTAATTGAGCAATTTTTTATCGGTAATCCATCTTGGAACCCTATTTCCTACGTGGGTTTTAGCGACAAAAATGATTCCATCCAAAATTCATTAGAAATTATAATTTCTAACTAATTTTTCCGTAAAAAAATAGCTCATTTTCCAGTAGTGTCATAACTAACAAAAATTCAAGATATATGTTTGTTTGAGAATACTTTCAACAATTTCTACTCCCATTTGTGCCAAATTAAAACATCTTCTCATTTAATATTAACTAGAATTTGATTGGCATCTCCTTATAATGCTTATAATATTTCATCATGAAAACTACAAATGGTACACTCATAAGAATACCAATATATTTATCCAATTTCTAAACATTACTTTTTCAATTTGTATTATTGTTCTTAATTCACTCAAGTGCAAAATGGAATTAGATTACTGATCTATGTGCAAGCAATAA